ACACTCTGGTACACTCTGGTACACACTGGTACACACTGGTACACTAGTACAGAGCAGTAAGGTTCTAATTCTGTTTTTGCTTCAGTTCCCCCCGGAGTAAAAAAAAACGGAGGAGATCTGAGTCCGCGGAACCGTCGGCAGGACTGGACGATGGAGACGTCAGTTTTGTTAGTAGTTCAGGAAACAGTGTCGGTGGGAATGGCTCAAATGTCGGTTCCTGCCAACTACTGACCTGGGAACCGTACGGGTCGGACCGCTGGAGCTCCGTGTACGACGGCAGCTGTCAGAGCACGTAAGTCCAGATCTTTACATCTTTAAGGTTGACATTGTACCGTTGTCTAGTCGGGGTTGAACGGTGAAGGACTGTCGGTCGTGTCCAGGTCGCCTCCTGCGTACCACGTGGACGCCGATAAAGGCTTCAACTACTCCACGGCCGACGAGGCCGTCATCTGCCAGAAGAAGAATCACTTCCAGGTAACCATTCACATCGGCGTGGCCGCAGAGCCGCAGTTCATCAGGACGCCCACGGGGGCGCAGCAGGTCGACCACTTTGAGATCAAAGTGTTTGGGATCAAGGTGCGAGTACCGATTCTCCCACAAACTTCAGGAGGTGATGAGTTGTGGCTTCATGAGTGTTAATGTCGCCCCCAGCTGGAAGCCCCCAGTCAGCAGGTGACCATCGAGCAGTCGCAGCCCGACCGCAGCAAGAAGCCCTTCCACCCAGTCAGGTGGGTAAATGGGGCAGTTTAGCCCATACAGTGGGCCGTCTGCAGACTGACTGGACGTCCTTCCAGGCACAACCCGCCCCAGAGGTTTGTCGAGGTGGTACCAGACCCAGTACCACGGCAGACATGAGTCCGACCTCCGTTCCAAACTAGCCTTAAGATCAAAGTAAAAAAAAAACCCGTTTCAATCTGTAATTGTGGTCCTGGTGGTCTTCCAGGGTCAGTCTTCCTGCTGGAAAGATCACCAAGGTTACTCTGGGCCGTTTGCACTTTGGTGAGACCACGGCCAACAACATGAGGAAAAAAGGCAAACCCAACCCGGACCAGAGGTGAGTTGACATGGACCGCACTGGACCGGACTGGACCGGACTGGACTGGACTGGACTGGACTGGACTGGACCGGACCGGACTAGACCGGACTGGACCGGACTGGACTCCAGGCTAACTGTAGCTGTCTGTCTGTGTCCAGGTATTTCCAGATGGTTGTCGGTCTTTACGCTGCCGTAGGAGAGGAAACGTTCCTCCTCACGGCTGTGGTGTCGGAGAGAATCATCGTCAGGGTGAGAACTTCTCTGGACCAATCAGGGATCAGTAACTTTCTTCTTTCCATCTAACAGTCCCCGCCTTCTCCTGCAGGCGTCTAACCCTGGTCAGTTCGAGATGGACGGGGACGCCCTGTGGCAGCGTGGGGTGGTGCAGGACTCGGTGGTCTGTCACGGTCGTGTCGGCATCAACACCGACTCGCCCGACGAGGCCTTGGTCGTGTGCGGTAACGCCAAAGTGATGGGTAACATCATGCAACCGTCCGACTGCCGCGTCAAACAAAACATACAAGAGGTGAGGGGGGGTCGTGGGTGGAGGTGGAGGTGGACCGTGGGTGGAGGGGGACCGTGGGTGGAGGGGGACCGTGGGTGGAGGGGGACCGTGGGTGGAGGGGGACCGTGGGTGGAGGGGGACCGTGGGTGGAGGGGGACCGTGGGTGGAGGGGGACCGTGGGTGGAGGGGGACCGTGGGTGGAGGGGGACCGTGGGTGGAGGGGGACCGTGGGTGGAGGGGGACCGTGGGTGGAGGGGGACCGTGGGTGGAGGGGGACCGTGGGTGGAGGGGGACCGTGGGTGGAGGGGGACCGTGGGTGGAGGGGGACCGTGGGTGGAGGGGGACCGTGGGTGGAGGGGGACCGTGGGTGGAGGGGGACCGTGGGTGGAGGGGGACCGTGGGTGGAGGGGGACCGTGGGTGGAGGGGGACCGTGGGTGGAGGGGGACCGTGGGTGGAGGGGGACCGTGGGTGGAGGGGGACCGTGGGTGGAGGGGGACCGTGGGTGGAGGGGGACCGTGGGTGGAGGGGGACCGTGGGTGGAGGGGGACCGTGGGTGGAGGGGGACCGTGGGTGGAGGGGGACCGTGGGTGGAGGGGGACCGTGGGTGGAGGGGGACCGTGGGTGGAGGGGGACCGTGGGTGGAGGGGGACCGTGGGTGGAGGGGGACCGTGGGTGGAGGGGGACCGTGGGTGGAGGGGGACCGTGGGTGGAGGGGGACCGTGGGTGGAGGGGGACCGTGGGTGGAGGGGGACCGTGGGTGGAGGGCCTCTCTCAGACCCCGTCCTGTGTTACCAGGTGGACTCCCAGCAGCAGCTGAAGAGAATCACTCAGATGAGGATCGTCCAGTTCGACTACACCCCAGAGTTTGCCTCCACCATGGGCATGGACCACACCCAGCAGACAGGTACAAGTACTGTCCATAAGAACAGTTTGACCAGCAGGGTTCCTGTGGGTCAGCGGGGACAACCCTGACGTAGACCCTGTCATCACTGCTGCGTTCAGGTGTCATCGCCCAGGAGGTGAAGGAGCTGCTGCCGTCGGCGGTCAAAGACGTCGGTGACGTCACCTGCTCCGACGGAGAGACCATTCCTAACTTCATGATGGTGGACAAGGTACCGTTCCGCCTGGTTCCTTTCCTATGGAGCTGAGGTGTTCCCAGGCTGAGCGGTACCGATTCCCAGCAGAAACAGTTCTGTCCTTGTGCCGCCCCCTACAGGAGCAGATCTTCATGGAGAACATCGGAGCCGTGCAGCACCTGTCCAAACTCACCGACAACCTGGAGTCTCGGATCAACGACCTGGAGGTCTGGAACCGACGACTGGCCAAGCTGAAGAGCCTGACGGGAAGCCTGCGTTCCACAGGGTACTGACTGGTACTGGTACTGGTACTGGTACTGTTTGACTGATCTGAGCTAAGGGTGATCACAAAGTTATTTGATATATATATATACTGTATATATATATACTGTATATATATATATATATATACAGTATATATATA